TGCTAGGGTCACTCTTCATCCAGTGCTTAAATGAAAAACAGAGTTGATTGTGATGGGAAGTCCTGGCAATGACTTGGACTATTTCTCCTACAATCCTCGTCAAATAAGGGGCACACAACAAATTGCTTATCTCCGATCTGCAATTCTCCCCTCCACCCAGCTGTAAATCTGAATTAATTAATAAACGCCCTAATGTTTTCAAGGTCATGGAAAATGAAAAGCACTCAGCAAAATGGATGCACTGACAGTGAAGGGTGTTTGTGGGTGGAGTTTTTATGTAAATTGCAAATCTGTGAGGCAGCAGCTCCTTCATCTGTGCCCCAAGTGCTAAAGTTAGACAACTTCAAAGAAAATAAAGGAAATGCAAATAAATTATGTTTTGAACAAATATGCCCTTCCCTGGCAAAAGTGCAAGGCTTTATGCAGCAGAGTCTCAAATCACACAAGGAGGTCAAAGACCCTGTGAAGTCAGGGCATCACGCCGGCTTTGGTGCGTCCCTGCTGACCGAGGGACAGAGGACAACTCTGCTTTCTGTCCCCAGCACTTGCTCACCAAAGGCCTGGCACGGGGCTCATCCCTGCCTGCCACACAGACCTCAGGAGATAAGGTTCCGTGGCATCCCTGGCCACTGAGCTGTTCCCGGCTTCTGGCTCTGTTTGAAACATTCCAGCACAGCCCATGGCTGTGATAACCACGATACACAGACCCACCCACATGGCTCCTCTGTCTGTGTGCCCATAACAGGCACTGCTTTGGGAGCTTCCACAGCTGCCCTCTAAAGCTCAAGCACCTTCACAAATTATGTAATCTGGGGAGTAAGATCATAGACACACAGCATGGTTTGGGTTGGAAGGGATTTTAAAGATCATCTAGTGAAGGTGTCATTGAGGAATGTGATATTTGACAAGTTAGGAATGCCACCCCTTAGATAAACAGAAACAAGATATGAACTTCTGGGATCAATCTTTGGAGGCACACTACAACTGAGTAACTTCTGAAAATTGAAAGGATAATTGAAGACACTCAGCTGGGAGCTCATGGTGCTTGAAGGGTGGATTCTCAAACCAATCTTAATATGGCCACTGGAAAGAGTCTGTGAAGTGTAACTGCAAATCAGTTGGGTCCCAGCACATTACAGACTGAGGCTGCTGGAGCCAGTCCAGAGGAGGCTGGAGATGTTCTCAGGGCTGGAGCCAGGCTGGGAGAGCTGGGGGTGCTCACCTGGAGAGGAGAAGGCTCCAGGGAGAGCTCAGAGCCAGGGCCTGAAGGCAGCTTATAAAAAACAGAGGGACTTTTGTACAGGCATGTAGTTCCAGACAAGAGGAAATGGTTTAAACTGCCAGAGGCAGGGTTAGATGGGATAGTAGAAACAATTTTCTTCCTGTGAGGGGGGTGAGGCCCTGGCACAGGGTGCCCAGACAGTTGTTGCTGCCCCTGGATCCTGGAAGTGTTCAAGGCCAGGTTGGACACTGGGGCTTGGAGCAGCCTGGGACAGTGAAAGGTGTCCCTGCTCATGGCAGTGGTGGCACTGGATGGGCTTCAAAGACCCTTCCAACCCAAACCATTCCAGGATTCTGTGGGACTCAGGTGCCAAACACAAGCCATCAGACTTTACTTCTACCTTACACTGATACTTTCAGTACATGACAGCAGAAACACATTGATGTGGTCTCAGATTTTCAATTGAAAACATAAAGCTTATTGAAAAGGGATACATTCTGTCAAGGAAAAAAGTGGAACAGCATAAAAGTGATGAGTAAAATTCAGTGCCTGCAGCTCACACAGGTGAGTGAGGTCAGCAGAGGCCGTGGTACCACAACCCAGAACAACACAGGGGCCTTGCTTCCAATTTCTGAGTAAGAAATCTGAGTTCATCTGCCCCAGGCTGAACCACGCTGGATGAGGTGCTTTGGGGACAGCAAGGTACAGAACTGCTGTGCAGTAATCCAGGATGCTGTGGTTTCATCAGCACTGAGAGATCTGGGCAGGGAGGTCACAGACCACATTCCAAACAATTGTGTGAAGTGTTAATTAATGCAATGAACCTGGGCAAATACCACAACTACTAACAAAGCAACTAAAAGCACAGGACAGCACTAATTATTACAGAAATCAAAGCAATAAATCAAATATTGTGCACAGAACGTTTCCACTAGCCTTTGATTTATGCCACTGTGAGGAATGCTATTCACGCCTTGAACACAGCTGGGCAGAAGCAGATGGGAAGTGGTCAGTACCACAGGGAAAACTACTGAATTGCTAAAAAGAATTGCAACCTTTTGTTGCTTCTTTTGATCCATTTCATGCATCTGGCACCCTCCATGTTGTTGATCCATTATCTGTCCAATCTGTGCGAGCTCCTCCAGTCCACCCCCAGCACTTGTGGCAAGTCTGTGCTCACACTTCACAGCAAAGTCACGGTGATGTGATTTTATTGTCGCTGTTATCACCACCGTTATTATTAAAAATCAGAAATATAGACTGTTCAGTAAAACACCCAGTACCAGAATGGACTGCTGTACACCTAACAATTACCAGCACATTATCAATTCCGTGTGGTGTAAGAAGGGACCTGTGTCCCTGCAAGGAGAGTTCTGCTTCTGACCCATTCTCTAATTTATTAACACTTATTTTATTATTATTAATTTATTTTGCAGCAAGAAAATTAACTTGTACCACTGCAGCCTGTGAAATCTGAGGCAAACCTGAAGCACACAACAGTGACAAACCCTTGGCATCTAGATGGGATTTGCCATTTCATCTCTGATGAAACGCATTTTAACCTGTCAGTCTCCTGACAGCTTTTACTTGTCTCTTTCTTCTACATTTTATTCTATAATTTTTAAAGACTGGCACTTCTGTAGCCTTTTACCAAAAAAAAAAAAATCAAAACACATTTTAACCATTTTCCTCTATGTCTACTCTCTGAATCCAGAGCTCATCATGCAGTTCCCCAAGGAAATTAGAATCTGCAAAGGTCTCAACACAATGCTCATTTGGCTTTATATATATATGTAAAATCACACATTCATGTCTGAAAATTAGAAGTAAACTAGCAGAGCAAAAATCTTTGAGGAGATTGAAGTATCTGAAGCTCTTGGCTTCCATCTGCCTCTCTCAAACCCACACTTTGACATGTTTGTTTTAGTAAAGTTTTTGTTTTGTTCATGAAGAAGCCAAAAATTACTCTTGGAAAATAGACACTGGAAACTGTTTTCCACAGAAAATAAACGCTACAAACAGTTTCCTGCTGAAATACGGGAAAATATTTTACCTACATGTACTCATATTTTTCTCTGGCAAAAATGTTCGGCTTCTATAGATTTCATGAAAGTCCCAAGTCTACTGGCAAATCCTGAACGTTTGACAAGCACAATTTGAGAAAGCCTCGTGGGGAAGCAGTGATTAGAGAAGGCAACTGGCAGCTGGGAAGCCCACGCTGTATTCCCTGTTTCATTACTGATGTATCTGGATGACCTTGTCAAGTCATTTAATGCCTTTCTGCCTGCCTTTCCCTATCTGCAAAATGCTTAGGTAAACACCTCCCTTTTGGAAACTCTGTAAAATTGTTTACTTTGGAAATAGTTCCTTGGATGCTAAACTGGCTCACGGGTGTAGCATCAGATGAAAGACATAAGGGCCACAGGACATAAATGTCAATCTAATATCTTCTAATTAAACCATCTAGATTAAACCATGCAGATTAAACCATCACAGTTTAATAGGTTAACCTCATCCCTGAAGGTTTTATTTCAGGTGAGACAGTAGTTATTTTAATTTCATTTATATCAGCCAACACAACATCATCAATGCAAAGCATACAGGTAAAGAAAAGCAGGAAAAAAATGCCAAAAACTTTTCTTTTTTCTGCTTAATTTGATTATTTAGCCAAGTTTCATCTTGGTCAGGTGCACTGCATTACAGTGGGCAATGCACAGAACAGGGATTAAAGGTACTGGGATGGTACCTTCAGGCAGGGGATGGCTTCACTCAAGGTAATCCCCAAGCCCATTTGGGGCACTCCTCAATGGTACCAGGCTCCTCTGGGCCCCCTCAATGACCTTGACCAGCTCATGCACATTTTTATTGTTAATGGGCCAAGGTATGTACTGTAAATGGAATATCAAAGTGCAGTCATGTCACCATCACTCCTTGTCCAAGGAAAATTCCAAATTTCTACAACTGAACCACTGTAGAAGCATCTAATAGCTGAATGGGGAGGAGAGTGCAACTTTGATTTATTAACCCAGCTGCTTGCCCACGCTGGCTAAAAGCATCACACACATTGAAAACAGCTTTTTCCACAGACCTCAGTTCAAGAATCACAAAAATCCCTGTTGCAACTTTAGGAAGTGAACGCCACCAAGAAACAGAAAGAGAATTGAGAGTGTAGGACCGCGTTTTTACAGGGACTTGTCACATTCTATCTGAGGAAGGATGCATGCTGGCATCTTGGCCAGGCTCCACAGCCATGTCACAGCGGCAATGACAGACATCGAAAGCTTCCCATCCTCGTCCTCCTCCTTGCTGCGCAGGTCCGGCCGCGCCCCCTCACGCCACAAAATGGCGGCCACGCTCTTCTCTCCCCTCAGGGCCGACAGGCGGGCCCGCCACACCGGCACGGCCGGGGGCTGCTGGGGAGAAGGGGGAGACTTTAGCCACGCTACACTTGGAGGGGGAGAGGAAGAAGAGGAAAAGGAAGAAGAAGAAAAGAGAGGAGGGAGCCGGGAGCTATGCGCGGCACCGCCGAGAGGAAAGAAGCGACCGCCCCTCACGAATAGGGGTCGCCACAGAAGATGGCGGCGCGAGCCCCCGCGCGCCTCGCGCTGATTGGCGAACAATTCCCGCCGCTCGCCCTCTGCGTCTTCCTATTGGCTGCTGCTTCCCGCCCTGCCCCCGCGCGCTGCCCGCCGCCCCTCAGAGACCCCAGAGCCCTCAGTCCCCTCAGAGCCTTCAGCCCGCTCAGTCCCCTCAGAGCCCTCAGTCCCCTCAGCGCAGGATGGCGGCAGCTGGCGGCGGTCGTGGCTCCCAGCCCGGGCTGGCTTCGGCGCCGGGCAGCGCCGGAGACAGCTCCCTCCTCGGTAGCGCCACAGTGTGGCCCTTGAAGCGCTACGGTCGCTTCCTCCCGCCGAAGGACGGTGACTGTGAGGGGCAGAACACCTCTTGGAAGGTGCCGGTGGCGCGGGGAGGGTGGTTGGTGGGACGCTGTGGGGTAACTGTCTCTGCTATGAGGCAAACACCAATAAATGAGGTTTTTCAGGTGTCTTTTTGCGAATTCAGAGGTAAAGCAGGAGTCGGGGGAGATTTTTACTTCATGAATTGTTAATAACATCATATCAGAGTGTTAGTAGCCCACTTTTTTTTTAATTCCTTCATTCATCAGTAACCTGTGGTATTAAAACCTAGAGATCAAGGTGGAAGAATCCAGAGGGTTGTCCCAAGTAGTTAAATTTGTATATGGAGGTGTAATTAGTGAAAAAAAAACATTTGGTGTGCCTCCTGCGTGTGGGAGTGAAGGGGAAGTTGCATTAGTGAGACATGAATTACACACCTGGCTTCTAACAGCAAACTTTGAGACCTTTTATTTAGCCTAGAGATGGGAATCGTAGATTATGTGCTTGCAGGGCCAGATTTTCTTTTGTCTGTCTTTTTAAAGGTGTTTGAATCAAATGAAGAATCAGGCCCCCTTGTTCTTACCATTGTGGAGTCTGGCCATTTCTTTATTTCCCAAGGGCGAACAGTGCTGGTAAGTTTGTCATGTATAAAGAATATTTCTTCTTCATGTTACCATCAGTATTAACTTGGTTTATTTTCTCAGCTTCATCTTCTCTCCCACTGAGTGGGAACTGTCAATTTTGTTTTCCTCATGGTAATTCCCATGTGCTGCTTTCCCTTCACGTTTGTCAGAATAATACGAAATGCATTATTTCCTGCTGAGGATCAACATTTCTTCTACATTTCTAAAAATCTAGATTAAGAGGTAATGCTAAGTGTTGCTGGTGTTGAAAGATACTTGTTTTGTTTTTTTTTCATTATTCTTCTAACTAAGAAAACAGGAAAATACACTGCTTAGAAATAGGTAAAAGTATAATTTTTCTATATGGTCCAGCTGACTGCTTGCCAATGACCTGCTAGTATTTTGGTTTGACAATCTGGTTTATCAAAGGGTTTGTATTTTCTGTGTTGGATTATGAGATTTAACATACAACATAAGAACCTTGGAGACAAAATTCATACTTGTGTCAGCTGGTTTCCTGTAGCCTGCACTTGCTTAAACATAACCAGCTACTAAACTAAAGATTTCACAATGACACCAAAAGGAAAATTCTGTCTAGAAGGAGTGGGTTTGATGCTCTGACAAAGAAGACCTTGCTGGAAGGTGGAATTAAGTGTGTTCAGTGCACATCACCAGTACTCAGTTGTAATAACGAGTAGGAGCTGGCTGATAAATATGTTAGAAAGGTATTACAAACCACTGGAAGATGCTGCAGTGTAAAGATAACAAAGCTTTTTTAAGAGCATGTATAAGAGACTGTGTTGCAGCTTTAAATATGTATAAGCTTATAAATTAGTTTTTACTATGCCTCTTAAAGGGTCATAAACTTAAAAGAAATTCAAGCATAGGGGAGAACCATGAATACCCTTGAATTTTTTGGCCTGTGTGTTAGGAACATTGAATAGTTAATGATGAGCTAACAGAGCTGTTACATTGGATGGCACTCAGCTCATTTAGTGAGAACAAGGTAAAAAGGCACTGTGGAAAGTATTTTAGCAGTTGTGTTGAATGAGAACAAGGAAAGAAGTTTTGAAAATGTGTATGGAAATGTGACTTGCTGCCATCCCTTACCACATTCTGCTTGGAATGACTCGGTGCAGGATGCTCCTGTTCCCAGTGGCTGTTCCTGTTAGTGACCAGTAACTGACATTCCTCTTGAGATAACCATACAAAAGCTAACAGCAACTTCTGATAACTAACCCCAGTGCAAAAAAGGCACAACCCAAAGCTGCAACCCTTCAAAGACTTGTCTGGCAAAGGCTGAATCTGGCAAGTAACAGGGCAGATAAAGTGTGCTGTCGGAAAGGATGAGGGATCAGAAAAGCTGCTCAAAACTTGGCTGAGAAAAGCACTTCTCGCAGCTCTTGTGTTTAGTGGCCAGTGAAGCTTTCAAGCAGCTGCTTTGCTTGAAATGCCAGATGAGGAATTTCTGGGATCCATCAGGACTGTTCCAGCTTCCAAGAGACACTGAGATAATACTGTGGGAGCTATCACATAGTGCAGGAGAGGTGGAACAGACATGCTTGGTAGCTGTGACCTAAATATAGTACTGGGAGTTCAAAAGAAAAAAAGCTGTTTTGGTTTATTTCAAACATTTATTTTGGCAATGCTTCTGTGCCAACCTTAAAGGCGACACACAAATGTTTAGAATTTGTTACAGAAAAGTTACATGAAGTTGGTTTTGCAGCCCATTGATTGCTTTGGGTGCAGTTCTTTGAGCAGGAGTAATTGGGCTTGTGGCACAGGTGTGTTCTGTGCCTGCAGGACTGAACTGGTGGGACTGGTACCTACTGGGACTGTGGGTTTCTGAGATTGGACCTGCTGCAGTCCTCCCACTTGTCCTTTTAAACATACCTGAGTGGCTGAAAACCCCACCAAATACCCCATGTGCTCGTTTTCATGGAATCCCAGCATGGCTTGGGCTGGGAGGGACCTTACAGCTCATCCAGTGCCATGGGCAGGGACACTTCCACTGTCCCAGGGTGCTCAGAGCTCCATCCAACCTTGAGCACTTCCAGGGATGGGGCATCTTGCAAACTCCTTCCCAAGATGCTACATAACAACAAACAAACTTGTAGTGCTGCTCAGGCTGTATTTTTGCAGCAGAAATAATCAGAAATGGTTCATCTCAGTGGTTCTATCTCCCTCCAGTTCCAGCTGTCAGTGCTGTCACAAACCTGTCACAATATTTAAGCAGGCTTTGCACTACTAAGTACAGCCCGTGCTTGGAGCCTGTCACACTCCAGATCCACTCACTGGGGGTCCATTATCCTGGACATTCTGTCAGAGGGGATAATGCACAGAGGGAATGGATCAGCTTTGATGGAATGCTGCAGCTGTTGGTGTGATTTCACTTGTGCTCTCGGTTCCTCTTGCTGGCCTGGCCTGTGTCCTTTGGATTGCCAGGGTGTCCTCCCACACCTGTGTGCTGCCTTCCTTGCACTGAAATTCCCTCTGGTGTGCTCACAGAACTGTTCTGTGCTGTGTTGGAACTGCATCCTTTAAATTGTTGATGCCTTGTCTTTTGATCTATCTCCTAATCCCTACTTTTCAGCCTTTTTGATGTGCTCCAGCTCCTGGTTTGAGGCAACTGGGTAACAATTATTGTAGCTTTGTACCTCTGCACAGGAACAAGATCTGGGTCACAGGGACACATTTCCTTCTCAGCGGGCAGAACTTGAGTTTTTATAAAATGGTCATTGATGAATAATAAAAGGATTTTTTTTTTCTGTTTCTCACCTATGAACAACATTTGGACAAAACTGAAAGGGTTGTGAAGAAAAATTTCTGCTTTGCTGATGGCTGGATAATTATCCATAGTAGGAACAATATTCAAGTGTTTCTGATTGCTGTCAAAATACTCTGTCTATGATGAGTGTATTACATATTTTCTTAGTCCTTTCCATTTTATTGAAGTAGGAAAGTTAAACCTTTTCCTTAGGGCCCACTGGCTCTTTTATGATGTGTTTCTAAGAACAATATTTATAAAATAGTAATAAAATATTCACATATTCTTACAACTGGGTTTTTTAAATAAATACAGAAGCAACTGTTTTCCTTTCAAAATACCATCTATTCCTTGTGTAATGGAATGAAGAGGAGGTAAATGGAACTTCAGAGCATGGAGCATAAAAATCCCTGATGCATAATGCAAATTAAAGGGTGTTTTGATTTGTTTTGGTTTATGCTTTTTTAAACCAAATTCTTCATTTGGAATTAAATTACATAATGTATTTTTAGGACCTGTTTTTGCTGCAGTGTTGCCTAACAGACTGCATATTTGATGGTAGAAAAACCTCATTGTTGTATACTGTAGTCAATGGAATTTTACAGGAATATCTCAACAGCATCTCTGGTAATTTCTGGCCATGCTCAAGATACATCATGTTCCATTTACCACAACTCTTATTTCCTTTCCCCTCTCTATCAACACATCATGGAAATTATATTTTGGTGTTTTATTCAGTGCAATTATTTCTGCTGCTAGAATTCATAATATCCTACAAATGAAACAAATTGAAATTGTGAAGAGGACTTACTTAATAGGATGAAATTAATCCAGAGTAATTGATTTGTGACCTGATCTTTTGAAGTGTAGAGTAAATGTCCTTAGTGCCCTCCTGGTCCCCTCATGACTTCCAATAAGCTACCAGTGCTTAGGGTACAGTAGATTCTAACTCATTAATTAGGCAGGCATTCAGCAGGCATTCTCATGTTCCCGATGCTCTCTTTGCAGTGCCTGAAACTCAGGCACCAAATTTTGCAGATGAGATTCACAGCAGTGCCCTGGGCAGAGCTGGTCCCTGTGCAATAAATGAGGGCTCCTGACAGAAAGCTGGGCAGCGAGCAGGTTGCTAATGCTGCTTTGTGGGAGAGCCCTGCAAAGCCACACAAGGTTGTATTCAAGTTTTGTTGGATTATTTAGTGCCACAATCGCAGTTCAAAAATCTCAATTTCAGTTTGTTTATTTCAACGTGTGCTGTTGTTGTGATTGTTTTGGACGAGCTGAGAGGGTCCTTCTGCATCAGCTTTCCCATTTCTGTTCCATGTCAAGGGCTTCTGCTCTTTCCTTTTCTCTTGCCCCAATTCTCCTAAACCTAAGCTCTTAGAATTTTTTTTTTTTTTTTGGTGAGATTAGCGATGTCTGTTAATGATGTGTATTTACCCTAGAGTTTACTGTGTGCTATCAGTGTGGGGAAATACATATTTTATACTGAGAATGAAAGAATGCATTACTGGGACGCCCTGAAGAGCTTTACCAGCTCATCCCTGAGCATCCAGTTCCCCTCTCTGTGGCCCTGCACAGATGTCATTGGGAAAAAACCCCAAAACAAGTGAGGCTGTCAGTGAGGTAGCGAGGTTTGTGCTGAGGTAAGGGCCTGTCTTTGCTGTCAGTGGCTGTGGGCTGTACCCATCCAAAGCCTGCTCCTGCAGGCAGTGCTTGCCCTTTGCCCAAAGCCACTCTCTGCCTTTGTCCCCTCGGGTGGCTCCGTGTGTCCCGTGTTCCCTCCCTCCTTCAGCCTCCCTGCCTGTGTGCACACAGCACTCTGCTTAATGAGTTCTCTGTGCTGTTCTCTGCCACACCCAAACAGCCTTAAGAGCAAGGTGGGAGGGTCTGAGAGATTGAGGATCAAAAAAGCATCATGCAAACCTTAACATCCTTTTATTCTTTACTCCTGTCTCTCTGCCTTGATTGGTAGGGTTGGAAATGTTTGCAGGGACAA